ACATCTATTAAGACGCCTTTCCTATGCGCCTCCCTGCCAGCTGCCCTCTCACCCGCCCGCCTCCCTGCCAGCTACCCTCTCACCCGGCCGCCTCCCTGCCAGCTGCCCTCTCACCCGCCCGCCTCCCTGCCAGCTACCCTTCACCCGCCCGCCTCCCTGCCAGCTACCCTCTCACCCGCCCGCCTCCCTGCAGCTGCTCGACGACTACTACCTGAACCTGCTCGACTGGAACGAGCGCAACGTCCTCGGCGTCGCGCTCGGCGACTCGATCTACCTGTGGAACGCGTCGGACGGCTCCATCCAGCAGCTCATGCAGACGAGCGGCGACAACTCGCACGTGACGTCGCTGTCGTGGGTGCAGGACGGGCCCTACATGGCGGTCGGCACGTCCGACCACAAGGTCCAGATCTGGGACGTCGAGAAGCTCAAGCAAGTGCGCAGCATGTCGGGCCACCGCGCGCGCGTCTCGTCGCTCTCTTGGAACGGGCGCCTCGTCTCGTCGGGCCAAGAAGCAGATGGAGCAGCTGTGAACAGCGTCTCTTCACACCTGCAGCTGTGAATAGGCCCCTCCTCTCGTCGGGCGGCCGAGACTCGGTGGTGATGCACCACGACGTGAGGACACTTCCTAGACACTTCCTAGGCACTTCCTAGACACTTCCTAGACACTTCCTAGACACTTCCTAGGCACTTCCTAGACACTTCCTAGGCACCTCCTAGACACCTCCTCGGCACTTCCTAGACACTTCCTAGACACTTCCTAGACGGGCGGGTGCGTCCTCTCAGCAGAGGTGGCCGAGACCCCAGCCGAGACCCAGCGGCGACCCAGCCAGATCGCGGCGAGACGCGCGGCCGAGAAGGAGAGGCTGCGCCGTTGTGCGGCACGGCAGGCCGCCGCATTGGCTGACCTTGCAGTGGCTGACCTTGCCCCTCCCTTGCAGGTTCGCGTGGCGGACCACAAGGTGGGCACGCTGCGCGGCCACGCGCAGGAGGTCTGCGGGCTCAAGTGGTCCCCCTCGGGCACGCAGCTCGCCTCGGGCGGCAACGACAACATCCTCAACGTGTGGGACGACCGGTACACCTCCTCCGCCAACGGAGTGTGCGACCAGCCGCTGCTGCGACTCGACCAGCACCGCGCCGCCGTCAAGGCCCTCGCGTGGTGCCCGTGGCAGCGGAACCTGCTCGCCTCGGGCGGAGGCACCGCCGACCGGATGATTCGCTTCTGGAACTCGTCGACCGGCGCGTGCCTCAACGCGGTCGACACGCACTCGCAGGCTGGAGATGCCGCCGAGAGATGCAGCCGAGATTGGCCGCCGCCGCGGTGGAGGCGCCAAGCTCGACCAACCACCACACCCGTTGCCGCCGCCGGCCTCGCCTCTCCTCGAGACGCTCGCAACCCCGCCGCCCCTCCCGACCCCTCCCGACCTCCCCCTCCCCCCCCTCCAGGTCTGCGCGCTGCAGTGGGCGAAGCACGACCGCGAGCTCGTCTCGTCGCACGGCTACTCGCACAACCAGCTCATCCTGTGGAAGTACCCGTCGATGGTCAAGGTGGCCGAGCTGACGGGGCACACCTCGCGCGTGCTCCACATGGCGCAGTCGCCCGACGGCACCACCGTCGTCACCGCCGCGGCCGACGAGACGCTCCGCTTCTGGAAGATCCTCTCGGGCGGCGAGGCGTCCAAGAAGGAGCGCGCCGCCGCGAAGGAGTCGATCCTCAACTCGATGTCGATTCGGTGAGCGGCGCGGCCCTCCTTCGGCGGCGCCGGCGCCGGTGCAGCGGGCGGCGCGGCGGGGTCCGGCGACCCCTCCGTCCGGCTCGGCCGCAAGGTCGACGGGTTGGCCCCTGGGCGCGCCACTTCGGGGTCGAGGGGGCGAGTGCGCAACGACGCAGCGCACTTTCGTCGGTGGCGACGGCGCGAGTCTGAGGCCGAGGCGGCACCGAGGAGCCGACAAGACCAGGCTGAGGTGCTGCCCGCCTCCGCCCCCCCCCCCCCCCCACCCCTCTCCCCCTCCCTCTCCCCTCCCTCTCGCTGCCGCCTCCTGCACGGCCCCGTCGCCGCGCGTGCAGGACCCGGCCTTGCTTACTTTTGCTTGCAGCACGTCGCGCTGATCGCGCTGAGAGCCCAGTCTGCAAGGCTCGAGCGCGCGACACGTGGTGACGGGCCTCGGCGCGTTCCTCACGCGGCGGAGCCGCCGGAGTTGGTCGTCGCGGGTGAGTCGGATCCTCCGGGCGAGCACGAGCTGACGGGCAGGAGGCCCCCCAAACCGCGCGCGCCCTGCCACACGGCCGACACTGACACATGAGATCCAACACCAAGCGTCGCCCTGCTCGCCATCGCGCGACTCCGCCCCGCAAGAGAAGAGAGCACGCAAGAGAAGAGAGCACGCGGACACGGGGCGGGAGGGGCGTAGCCTAGGCCGTCGCGTGGTTGTGACCACTGCGGCGGCGCCACGTTCGCTGCCACGCGTGGCGGCACTTTCGTCGTCGACAGCATGTGCGCATGATTGGACTTTATTGGGCCGAGCGTTTTTGATCTCTCTGGATCTGTGGGGGGCCGAGCCGCTTCGGGGTGGCGGGCGGGCGGGCGTGTTGAAAAACAGAAAACAAGAGGGGGCCCAGGGCCGCCACTACGGCTCTACGATTAGTAATCGGATTAGCCGACGTTACGGCTCTAGACACACACACCTGGCTCCTGGGACAAGGCGACGAGAAGGAGAACGCGCAGCATGTATGTGCAGTAACGTTCAGCGGAGGAGCGGAGGGGGGGGGGGGGAGCCGAGCGCGAGGGGGCGACGTCCCGACACGGCAGGTTGGAGCTGACCCCCCCGGGAGAGAGAGAACAGCGATGGCACACCCCCAATGACCCTAGACAGACGTGACGAGCCGACAGCGATGCAGCGGCAGCGAAGGCGGCGAGGAGGGCCCGCTGCAGAGCTCCGCCGGGCGGCAGCAGAGACATCGGCGGACGGGGGAGCACGGGACACGTCGGCATAGGAGCCAGGGGGGTGGGAGAGTTTAGTCAGGTGCAACAGCACCGTCTCGGCAGCGAGACCGACGATGGCGACGGCGGCGACGTAGGCGAGACGAGGGTGGCGACGGTCACGATGAAGGTGGCTTGACGAAATGGATGACACCATCGCGCAACATGACATCCTCGATGTCGTCGTCCTCGAGCCGGTTGAGCTCCTTCATCAGGAAGTGCATTGCCGTCGCCCGCTCCTTTTGCGGCGTCGCATGCGTCATCAGGTTGGGAAAGACTTTGACGAAAAAGTCATCGAGGGAGAACTCGTCCTGCTCCTGCTCCTGCAGCTCCGAGATCGCATCTCGGATCCTCGCGTGCGCAGCCGACATCCACGGGATGATGGGGCGGTCGCCGCTCTCGTCCGACGACGTGTCTCCAACCTCTTCCACGGCGGACCCGGCGGCCGCAGGCGGCTCGGATGAACTCGGGGGCACAGGACGGGGTACAAACGCCAGGCTACAAGCACGTAGTAAAGCAAGGGAGTCTAGGCGACGGCGGCGTCCTCCGGCGCCGTGGCGAGCCGGACTCGGTCGCGATCTCATCCGCCGCCGCGAGCTGCGGTGCGACACAGCTTTCCACACTTGCCTCTCCACCCTCCAGACAACCCTACGCCACGGTGATGCCATGAAAAGATCGTGCCGTCGTCAACGGCGCAGCCGCCTCCCACGCGTTCGTCGCAGGATCGTACCGCTCGAGCGAGGTGAGGAAGTGACCGTTGTACCCGCCAATAGCGAAGCCGCCCACAGCGTACAGCTTGCCGTCGAGCGCCGCCACTCCGGGCCTGCTCCGTTCCTCCCCCATCGGCGCCACCGCCTCCCACGCGTTTGTCGCCGGGTCGTACCGCTCCACCGAGCTGAGGTAGCCGTCGTCGTCGTTGAAGCCTCCCACAGCGTACAGCTTGCCATCGAGCACCGCCACGGCGTGATTAATCCGCGCCGACGCCAGCGGCACAACCGCCTCCCACGCGTTCGTCACGGGGTCGTACCGCTCGACTGAGCTGAGGGCCTCGTTCTCTTCGTCGTCGTACCCGCCGATAGCGTAGAGTTTGCCGTCGAGCGCCGCCATGGCGTGATTAATCCGCGCCTCTGCCATCGGCGCCACCTCCTCCCACGCATCCAGCGCCGGATCGTACCGCTCCACCGAGCTGAGGTAGCCGTCATCGTCGCTGTATCCTCCCACGGCGTACAGCTTGTCGTCGAGCACCGCCACGGCGATTTCCTGCCGCGCCGCCGCCATCGGCGCCACCGTCTCCCACGCGTTCGTGGCCAGGTCGTACCGCTCCACCGAGTTGGAAGCTACGCCATCCCCACCCTGGCCGCCCGCCGCGTACAGCTTGTTATCGAGCGCCGCCGTGCAGACATACCTTCGTGCCGTCAGCAGCGGCGCCACCGCCTCCTCCTCCCACTCATTCGTTGACGGGTCGTACCGCTCCAGCGAGTTGACAAAAGCGCCATTGTCGCGGCCGCCGAACACGACCAGGCGCGGCCTCTCGCGCTTCGTCAGCGTCTCCTTCCAGCCGCGGCGCCACGCGCGGCACGTCCCCTTGACGGCGTGCTCCGTGGTCGGCAGCTGGGCGAGGATGTGCGGGGCGAGGTCCGGCGAGAGGAGGACCTCGGAGAGCACCCACTCGGGCTGCTCCACGAGCCGTGCGGCGTGCTCCTCCGCCACGCGCAGCGCGGCGTCGCTCCAGAGGGGCGCCTGCTCCTCGATGAAGGCGAGGAGTTGCTCTGGCGAAGCTCCCGCGAGGCGGGCGCCGATGCGGTGGGAGGCCATCGGCAAGGCAAAAAAATACGGCGTTAGCTAGGGGTCAGGCCTCTCTAGCCCGTAGCCCGATCCCGATCATCCGGCCCGCTGGGTGCGCTTCTCAGCTCCCCGGCCCTGGATGTGAGGTTACTGACTGCACTCCAAGTGCTCCAAGTGCCGTTGCTTAGCTCGTGAGACAAGCAAGAGAACGAATCAAGGGCCCTGGGAGGACGTCGCTCCGCCGGCTCAACCGAGTATCGGGCGTTGAGGGCGGCGGCGCAAAGTGGGTCTGGTGCGCCACACGGCCACAGCCCTTGCCACCGCCCTTGCCGCCGCCCTTGCCACCCTTTGCCGCCTTGCCTCCGCCGCGGGCGGCGGTGGGAGCGGCCTGCTGAAGTGCAGCCTCTGGACCCGCGACTGGCGAGCTGCGCGCGTCAGACATTATCACGTCGGCGTCAGCGCCAGGATCAGCGCTAGGGCGCTGCTCGCATTCATCGCGGCCGCCGAGATAGATCGCTGTCAAAAGTCGGTCGGTCGGAGCAGCGCGGCCATGACCGCACGTTTCGCGTGACCCCGCACACCCGCAACCCAGGCTTGCCCACGGAGGAGGGCGCAGCGGCGTCGGAGGCGCCGACATGAGCAGCTTCATTGATGAGGGGACAGCTATGGGGTCCCCCAACGTTTCCGCAGGCGAAAGGACTTGGAGCACTTGGAGTGCAATAGGACGTATTTTTAAATGTGGGAGAGCGAAATTGAGCCGCGCAGGCGGCGGGCTGTCTGGTATAACCCCAGCCGACTCCGCGTGAACTCTCGAGGGATCTCGAGTTGCGGAGCTCCCTGCTGCTCGGTGTACGAACTCTGTTCACACCGAGCAGCTGGGAGTGGCTGCGGCTACAGACAGGGCGGCGTGTGTGCGGTGTCAAGGACCTGCTTTGCGGTTGCGGCAGCAGTGCATCGATGCTTTCGCTGCTCCCCGCCCTCCACCTCGCGTTCGGATCGGCCTACACGCCGTCCTTACCGTCGTGGACGCAGGCCGTGCTGCCCGGATGTGCGCAAGGGGAGGAGTGCGGCCGCCTGGCCCTCGCCAACGGCCTCACATTCAACTGCCGCTTCGCTGGCCCCGCCGCGAGCGTGACCAACGTGCTGCTGCTGCACGGCTTCCCTGAGTTTGCGAGCATCTACTCGGGTCTGATGGCGCAGATGGCAAGCAAGGGCTGGCGCTCGCTCGCGTGCAACCAGCGCGGGTACTCCGAGGGCGCGAGCCCGGCGACAGTCGACGCCTACTCGTACTACCACCTCGCCGGCGACGCGTATGCCATGGCGGAGGCGGCCGGCTTCACGCACGACGGTGGCAAGTTTCACCTCATCGGCCACGATCACGGCGGCTTTCTCAGCTGGTTCATGGCGCAGCCTACAGTGTACGGCAACCACCTGCACAGCCTCACCTCGCTCTCCTCGCCACACCCGATGCCCTTCTCGGAAGCGCTCTTCGGCGCGAACGCCGATGAGGAGCAGGTGGTCGCGTCGCAGTACCTCACGATGTTCTGTCTTGACGACTCTGCGTCGCTCCACAACGACTTCTGGTACTTGGCCCTCGGCGCTACCGCGGGGAGTGACCTCGGCTTCGCCTTCGGCGATGCCACCACCTTCCAGCTCGCATTGTTCTGGTACACCACCGTGTTCCTTCTCGACGGAATCGTCGCCATGCCGCCGGTTCTCAGCGCCGAGCAGATCCTCGCCGTCGACCCGGCCGCGGAGTCAGTCGTTGCGCTGCGCGGCCTCTTCGGCACGTCGGTGCCGTGGCCTTCGCAGGGCTTCGCTGCGACCGACACCGTCGGCAACATCTCGGTGCCAACGCTCTTCGTCTGCGGGACCGCCGACACCGCGCTGCTGTGCACGCGGCCATACGCGCTCGAGTCGGCGGATTACGTGGTGGACGCATCGTACACATACAAGCAGGAGCGAAATGCTGTGTACGATGCGATCAGTATTCGTACGTCCGCTCACTGGCTTTCACAGTCATACGTCAGCTCATTACCATCCACACGTCCGCTCATCAGCATGCACACGTCAATTCGTCAGCACTCTCACGTCTACTCGATGTAGGTTGTCGGCTGCGGTCACGACTTGCTCTCGTGCGGCGGCAACATGACGCTCGCTGACGAGACGATTGCCGCTGTCGTTCAACATGTCGGGGATGCAGATGAGGTTGCCGGCGTCGCACAGGCGTGAAGGAGATGCCGGTTTCGCCGCCGATCCGAATGCAATAAATGTGATGTCGCCGCACACGGGCAGAGCTTCATCTTCGCCATCGGGCACGGCACCTCGCCGCACTGGCAGCCCTGCGCGCAAAGCTCGAACGCCGCCATCATTTTTTTCTGCCGCCGCCGCCGCCGCCGCCACCGCCACCGCCGCCGCCGCCGCCGCCGTTCTCGACCACCGGCCGCTCGATCGGTGGCAGTCCCTTCGACCCCTCGCCCGCGCACAGGCTGGTGGAGAGTGGGCGACGGAGCCGTCGTTGCGATGCGTGGCGTCTACCGACCACGGCGGCGGGGAGGGGGAGCGGGACCAGTCACCGCTCTTTCTCTACTTGTGGAGTTTCTTTTTTGTGAGGGAGCGCGCAGTTGTCCCTGATCGTCCTGCCAAAATCCTGCTCGTGCAGGTGGGGACCCTGTCCTCCTCCCATGCCTCGTGTGCTGTTTTTCTTCAGAGCGTGCCCAGTGTCCTAGAGTTTTTCGTGCTAAAATTCTTCTTCTCGCTGTACCCCTGGGCCCTGGCCACAGCCAGTCGACCACCCCCAGGTCGAGAGAGGTTATCGTCCGATCTAGCGCCACCCGCGACCACTGGGCCTAACGACATTGAGTGGGCCCTTCTCGCAGCGCTAGCTGCCGCGGCTTCACGCGGTGATGCTCCTCGCCCTCTACAGCGCCCTCACACTGGCGACGGCCGCCGCCGTGTATGCAGTCGCCTCGTCGCCGTGGGACCGCGTGCTCGCGTCGCTCGATATCAGCTGGCTCACGCGCTTCCCAGCGGGAGGCCTGCCTCCCATCCCGCAGCCAGAGGAATCGAGCTTCCTCGGGGTGCTCGATGCGAGCGTGCGGCGCGTGGTTGATCCCTCGGGCGGGCTCGGTGTGCCAAACTCGTTTTTCGCGTGGCACTGGGGCATGGTCCCGCTCTATGGTGTGCTCTTCTCGGCCACCTTTGTCGCAACAACCCCCGCTGTCCTCGAGCCAGACACTTCTTTCCCGTGGCTCACGCTCGTCCAGAAGCTATTCATCTGGTTCAACGCCTGGGAGGTCTGGGCTCGCAGCCTCGCACGACCCACGCCCATGTCCGTGACTAGTTTGGTCTCCCCTCGCCAGGCGTTGGGGCTTGGTGTGGAGCACGGCCCGCTGCACAATAAGCTGAACCCGCCCTTCCAGGACTGGTGGTACCGCCTCACACCGGGCACGATCAAGTACGCTGGTCCCGCCGGCCACTGGTCCTTCCTCTCGATGCGCCGCTCCCGGCTCGACTGCCTGGTGGAGGGCGTACTGACTCACGTCTTTACATGGCGCTGCCTTCTCGCCCCGGAAGTCTCGCCCGAGCTCGTCTGGCCGCTCGCGGCGTGCGGCGTGTACGAGCTCCTCTTCGACTACGGGCAGCACATGCACACCTACGGCACGCAGAACCTGCACCTCTTTGTGTGCATGTGCTTCCCCGTCGAGCGCGGCCAGGTCGTCGGCATGCAGCTGTTCCTCACCCTGCTCTACATCGGCTCGGGCTTCTGCAAGTTGGGCCCGACCTTCCCACACATGTTCACCATGAATCTCGCTTCGGCCAAGTTCATGGTGGGTGTGCCCTGGGCAAGGTGGTTCCGGCGCCTCACTTTCAAGGCGCACGACGCCGAGCCGCCCGACTTCGGAAAGACTGCCTTTGCGTGGTGGCTGGCGAATGGCGCCGCGATGGTCGAGTTCTCGGTGCCGTTCCTGCTCTACACGCGCAACTCTCTCGCCGTGGCGCTCTCCATCTTCACCTTCCAGTGCATGCACGTCTTCATCATCGCGACGCTCATCATCGACGTCTTTTGCTGGAACTTTACCGGTCGCCCGCCGCACCTCCAAGCCCACCGCATCATCGAGCATCACTCATCTAGCGGATCCCTTCTCTCCTCCAGATGCGGTGGGCTACTACGTGCTGTACGGCCAGCTCTCCACGGGCATCGACCTCGAGGCGCCGCCGGGCATGGGCTATGTCTCCCTCGCCACTTCGGCTGTATCGCGAGCGCATCTCGGCGGTAGGCACTGCCAGACATGCACCCGCTCCTCGCCGCGTGGCTGGTCGGGCACACCCTCTACGCCGCCTACGGCCACTTCAGGCGCACGCACGGCACGGCACGGACGCACGCCACGCACGTACGCACGCACGCGGTACGTACGGCACGCACGCACGTAGGAGGTCCTCGCCCGCTTGCGTAAGCCGGCATCCCCCCTCCCTCGCCGCCCAGGCCCGACCACGTACCTTACGTCGTCGCGCACCGCCACGCGGCCGGCAACTGGTCGCTCTGACCCACTTCCTTCGAACGCACACAAGCCCGCTTGTCCACGTCCGCAGCGTGTGTGGGCAGGTCGCAGGGCGTGCTTGTCGTCCGCAAGTCGGCCGTGCACAAGCTGCGCCGCCTCACGTTGCACGCGGGGACGCGGCCCGCGCTGGTGCCTGGCGCCGATTGGGCGGGCGACTGGTACGGGTTCTACCTCTTCGCGGCGTACACATGGACGTGGAACTCCCCGTCGCGGCAGCGCCCGCTCTGCGGTTGCCACTCCCAACCCCTCCCTCTGAGAGTGCACGTTTGTGTAGGCTGCTTCCCGCGCTAGTAGTCGAGGCGATGGGTGAGGCCGCGCCCAGTGACGGCCTCCTGCACGCCTCGGGCGACTTCGCCCTCTTCCACTCGGCGCTCTTCTTCGACGCCGTCGTCGCTCACCTCCGGTGCGCGACCCGCGCGCCCCTCCGGCCGCCGCCCGCGTCTCGTCGAGACCGTGAGTTCCCGGCTCCATCACGCCTGCTCGCCTTGGTGGAGCGACGCACCTTGGGGTTGCCGCCGCGGGACGTAGGTTCGACGGCCTCTCCTCCCTCCGCCTCACCGAGGAGCTCGGCCGCGCGTGCGGCTTTGCGCCCGGGGAGTGCCGCCTCTGCTGGGCGGGCGCCTTCCCCTCCTTCCTCCTGCCTCCGGGCGGGAGGCCGGCCACAGCCTCCTGGAAGATTGTCGACGCAGCGGAGGGCGTGCTCCGGCAGGGCTCGTACGACGCGGCGACCATCGACGACCCGCGCTACGCCAAGCCGTCCGACCTGCTGGACCTCGACCTCCTCGGCAGCGGGAAGGCGGCCAAGCCCTCCACGGGGTCGCAGCTGCCAAGGCGCTCGCCGCCCCGCACGCGCGCCTCCTCGCGGTCGCCCGCCCGGCCTAGATCGTAACGAGCGCGTCTGCCCGATCTGTCCGCTCTTCCGGAGTGCGCGTTTGGGCTGTTGCCCTCGCTCTCCACACGCGGTGCACAGGACATGTTTGGCGCCTTGCTATGTAGAGCAGCCTGTTATGCGAACGTAGGACAAAAGTAGGATTTGTGGTCTGCCACGGCGGGTTTGTTCCCGCACATTCACTTGTCGCGAGGCTGAGTGGGGGGGGGGGGGGGATGGACCCGTATTGACCCGGAGCCGGACGATCGTCCCCGTTCCCCCGCGGGGGTCCGATCGCGGCGCGATGTTTGTGATCGGTCCAATAGGCGACTCTCTGTCGGCTGCGCCATCAGCGTTCATGCCGCCACACCACTTTCTTTCCTCACCGGAAAGGTGTGCGGGCAGCGCGGCCGACACTAGACACCCCGTGCAACGCCGTCGCCGTGAGTCTCAGCGGAGAGAAGAAGAAGCTCTCTCTCTCTCTCAGCGGTGAGCGGAGCCGTTTTCATTGTGGCTACTTCTCGTCGCAGCTCGCCCCGCGCCCGCGGCCTTGGCGCGGTACCCGCAGAAGTAATCATAGCGTGGTGTCGCAGTACTGCGATGCTTGCGGTGTAGTGCTCGTCTCAGACTCTCGGCGGATGGGCGTTTGCCCCTACGCGGCTAGAGACGCAACCCCTCAGCGGCGCCGGGTTTTGGCCGGCCGACAACCCTCCCTCGACAACGCGAACACACACAAGCGCGAGAGAGACGTACACAAAGCACAGGACCGGTGTGTCCACGCTCGTGAGGAGGGTTGCTCAACCTCAGGAGAGTTGCTCAGGCTCTCGAGTGTCCACGGATCGAGAGCGCAGAAGAATGCTGCTTCGACTCGCACACACCACCAGCGGCGCCGCTCACGACGGCCGCTCGGTCCTCGCTCTCGCTGCGGCGCAGCTCGGTTCCTCGTCCCTGTTCGCCTCGGCCGGCCACAGCGCTGACATCCGTCTCTGGCGCGCCACGGCCGCTGGGATTGAGCCATCGGGCGAGATCCGGCCGGGCGGCGGCAGCGTCTTTTCGCTCGAGGCGTCCCCGCTGCCGGGCGGCGACTGTCTGCTCCTCGCGGGCTCCTTCTCGCGCGTCGTCTTTGCCTGGCGCCTGCGAGAGGAGCCGGGCGGCGGCACGGCAGTCACTCCGCTCTGGCAGAGCGCGCAACACACGGGATGGGTGCGAGCGCTTGCCATCGATCCGGCTGAGGCGGCGGCTGCGCCGCGTGCAGCCTACTCGATCGGCTGCAATCGCATCCTCTCGTGGGCGCCGCCGCTGCCGCCGCCGGACGCGCCGGCGGCGTCCGGCGTGACGGCGCAAGACGAGATTGCGCTGTACGAGGACGAGGAGCAGGTGCGGTCGAAGGACATCCTCTGCCTGGCAGCGTCGACGGGAGGCGCGCTGGCCGCTGGCAGTGTCGACGGGCGGGTGCGCTGCTGGCGGGTGGGAAGCAACGGCGTCCCGACGGGCGTGCCGGTGCGCTGGGCGGCGCACGCTGGGCGAGTGAGCTGCGTGCGCTTCACGCCCGGCGGTGGTGGCCTCCTCACCGCCGGCCTCGACGGCGCGGTGAAGAGGTGGGCGCACGCCTGCTCTCCCGGCGGCGCACGCCTGCTCTCCCAGTCGGCGCTCCTCCCCCGGGTGCACAGCCTGGCGCTGGCCGGCGGCCACGTGCACGCGGGCGTCGAGGGCGAGGTCGTCAGCCTCGAGGGAGAGAGCCTCTCCGAGGTTGGCCGCGTGGCGTTGCCGCCCCGCGAGGCCGGCGCTGAGGCGGAGGCGTCCGGCGCGCCGCGCGTGACGGCCCTCGCCACCGGACGCGGGCTGCATGGGGCTCTCCTCGCGGGCGACTCGAGCGGGAGGCTGCACTTGCTCGTCCCGCGGGTGAGGGAGTGAAAGTGGGGGAGAGTGTGCCAGCTCGCTAGTACACAACACACCGTCTTCGCGTATTTGTGATTGTGTGGGGAGAAACGAGAGAGTACCATAAGCTGACTAACGCAACGCGGCCACGCACGTTTCTTCATTCTTGATCGCGCTGCAGATGTTTGAGGCGGGTCGAGCTGGCAGCTCTTGGGAACGTCATCGAGCCGAGGAGTGTGGGTGTCGGACAGCGCCGACGTGGGACACCGCTGCTGCGGCGTCCACGGGGCGCAGAGCACGCGTGCTCTGCGCGAGTGCGAGCGCAGGATCGCTCAGGACCAGCAGCACGGCGGCCGCGAGCCGAAGAGGCCCGACAGCCGACATACCAGCTGAAGTAAGGAGTGTGTTTGTTTGTCCGATTCGGTGTACACCTCCCCATAATTCGCCAACGGCGTGGTGTGGGGAGGACTGTGGAAAGGCTTAGAAACGGCAAGATCCTGTTTTCTTAATGCCCGCAACCCACTATACGGCCACTGGCTTAGTGGCTTTTCTTGCAGAAACCGGCGGTGTGTGCACCGACACCGCTCTGATTCGACTTTTGACTTCAAACAAAGACAGTCGCACGCGCCGCAGCGCGGCGCGTGCGCGCGGCGCGTGCGACTGTGAGGAGCGGATCCGTCAGGTTGTGTTCACGCCCTGCAGTGTCGGCTGAGGGCCAAAAGTAAAACGTGCAACGCCGCTCTCGGCTCTCAGAGAGGCGTTATATCTCAGTAACCCCGCTCGCAGGTACTGAGCAGCATTCGTCAAGCTCAAACCCCACTCTACACAACACAGAGCAGCGTTTGCCTAACAAGACTCCGCTCTGCAACCTTCAGAGCGGACTCGTGCTCAGAAAAACACCGACCAAACACGTTCGAGCGGAGTCAAGTCAGTGCAACACCGCTCAACATAGCGGGAGCGGTCAATTTCCGCAGAGAGGCTGCTTTCGCCTCCCTCAGTCGCGCTCTCCTTCGCTCCTCCTCTTCAGAGCGGGACTTTGCTAAGTGAACACCGCTCTAGCTAGTAAGAGCAGCGATTGCTTTAAGCTGACACCGCTCTAAATGGCGTGAGCGGCGTATCACTAAACGCGACGCCGCTCTGACTACTCGGAGCAGTGACGACCCACCCACACGCTGCTCAACCCCAGGGGCGGGGCTCGCCACGCCGCGCCGCGCGCCACGAGCGATCGTGGATCCGCCGTCGGCGTCAGGTGGCATCGCCGTCCCGGCGTCCCAGAGCAGCGTCTATTCAGGGCGACGCCGCTCACGTCATTTAGAGCGGTGTCAGCTTAAAGCAATCGCTGCTCTGGCCAGCTAGAGCGGTGTTCACTCAGCAAAGTCCCGCTCTGAAGAGGAGGAGCGAAGGAGAGCGCGACTGAGGGAGGCGAAAGCAGCCTCTCCGCGGAAATTGACCGCTCCCGCTATGTTGAGCGGTGTTGCACTGACTTGACTCCGCTCGAACGTGCTCGGTCGGTGTTTTTCTGAGCAAGAGTCCGCTCTGAAGGTTGCAGAGCGGAGTCTTGTTAGGCAAACGCTGCTCTGTGTTGTGTAGAGTGGGGTTTGAGCTTGACGAACGCTGCTCTAGTACTTGCGAGCGGGGTTACTGAGATATAACGCCTCTCTGAGAGCCGAGAGCGGCCTTGAGCGTTTTACTTTTGGCCCTCAGCCTGCAGTGTCCGCGACAACCTGGGCCCCCCCCCGGGCCAGCCTTGGACAGTAGCTGGCGTGTCGCCCTCTAGGGCTCGCCTCAGCTCGCCCTCAGAGCTCCTCGCCTTGTCGGCCCGGGCGAGGCGAGGGCGTGACTTCCACATGTCTCCCCCCAGCCAGATCAGCGAGGAGGAGTACGCCGCTGCCGCAGCCGCTCGGCCGGCCTCCCTCGGCGTGTGCATTCCGTCGACTCTCCCCTCTGCCGGCGGAGGGTTTGCGCGAATCTATTTTGGCAAATGTGCGTCGGGCGGCCAGAGCATGGTGCTCAAGTTGCAGCCCGACGTAGCTCCGCACCATATCGGCACTACTGAAGAGGTGGCGCTCCGGCTCCTGAACGAGAGCGCCCACGGGTCACCGCTCCCCTCCGTCCCGAGGCTGCACACCGCCGCGACGGCTGAGATTGGCGGCCGGCGGTGGCACTACATGGTGATGGATCGCGCCGGCGAGAGAGAGTTCGGGTGGTGCGGCCGCGACCAGACGGAGGCCGCTCTCGGCCGCGCCTTTGCCACCGCCCTTGTCGGACTGGTCTACATGCACAGCTGCGGCGTGGCGCACCTCGACGTGAAGCCCGCAAACATCCTCGTCGACCGCGCGCACTCGGCGACGCTCATCGACTTTGGGCTGAGCCTGATGCAGCGCGAGAGCACGCGGGCCGCGGGCACGCTGCCCTACATCGCGCCCGAGATCTGCAAGCGCGCCGTGCCCCACGCCCGCGCGTACAACACCTTCAAGTCCGACGTCTGGTCGCTCGGCATCTCGCTCTTCGCGGCCGCGGCCGGCTTCCACCCGTGGGCGCTCGCAAACGTGCACGAGCAGTCGGGTCGCTACCGCCGCGTCTACAATGCACAGGGCCGCGCGGCGCACCTCGGCTTTAGCGCGACGTGGCTCCTCCTCTCGACGCCGCTCTCGGACGAGCTGGCCGCCACCTTCCCCGGCATGGTCGGGCCGGCGACGGAGGAGGAGCTCTCACCCTGCCTGAGCTCGCCGGCGGCACCGCTGCTCGTCAAGCTCCTCGACGGCATGCTCGTCATCGACCCCGACCGTCGGCCCGACCTCTGCGGCGTCTGCCGGCTCGCACACGAGTGGCTCGCCGCCGTCTGCCCGGCAGAGCAGCGGCGCGTGGGAGCGGTCCTCGCCGCAGCGGAGAGCGGCGCGTCGCCGCTCGGCGCCGCCGTCGCCGCGGCTGCGGCGGGAGAGAAGGAGCAGACCTTTGGGCACCCCGGCGACGGCGCGCGCGCGGACAGCGCGGACGAGTCGAACGATCCCGTATACCGCTCCAGCTTCCGGAGCAGCGGCAGCGTCCGCAGCAGCCGCGGAAGCGGACACTTGCGCCTGATCGAGGCGGAGGAGGCGGAGCGGGAGAAGCAGGAGGGGGAGAGCGGGGGGCAGTTGGAGGGGGGGAGCGGGGGGCAGTTGGAGGGGGGGCTCCGCGAGGGGTCCAACTGCTCCAACTGCTCTCGATCCTCGGAGGGGAGGCTCCGCGAGTGGCTCGACGAGCTCGACGAGGAGTCCGAGGAGCGAAAGAGGCACCCGGACGCGCTCTCGCGACAGCGGGCCGAGGCGGCGGGCCGGTCCTTCAACAACCGGACGGCGCAGGAAGGTTGGCAGCGGGCCGAGGCGGCGGCGCGCGACGCGTTTGCCGCCTGCGACGCGGACGGCAGCGGCGCGATCGACCGGTGTGAGTTTGGCGCGGTGCTGCGGCTGCTCGGCCTGCCGCCCGAGCTAGAGGAGCCGATGATGGCGGTGGCCGACGCGAACGGCGACTCCCTGGTGAGCTACGCGGAATTGCGCGCGTTGCTGATCAAGTTTGGCGCCGTGCCTCTGGCGGGGGAGGCGGCGGCGGCGGCGGCGGCGGATGAGGAGGAGGAGGCGTCTGACGGGACCGCGGCGCCCGCCGCCAGGCGGAGGGGAGAGAGCAGGGAGGCGCTCACGTCATCGGCTCCTCCAGCTCAGAGTGGAGGGTGCCGCCGCAACGTCAAGCCGCTCCTTCAACGAGCGCAACAGCGCCGCCTCGTAGAGCGCCTCGCTTGCGACCGCTTGGCACAGCTGCGTGGCGTTCCAAAGCTGCAGGTTGAGAGGGAGCCGAGAGGGAGTCGAGATGGAGCCGATAGATTGTGTGCCCGTGCCGCAGTGGCTTTGACCTGCCCCGTCCGCACGCTGCGGCTGCAGGCTTGCGGGAGATTCGACGCGCTCGACGAGCTGAGCGACACCGAGGATGCCGACGACGTCGCCGCCTTCGACTCATGGCGCACGGGCGAGCCACAGATCCACCGCTACTCGTCCCCCCGCGGGGTGGACGCGTCGCTCGACCCGTCCAGCGGGGAGCCGGCCGCAGAGGTTGGCGCGCGCCTCAAGCCGCCGCCGGCAGGGGAGGTGGCCGCGGCGCTCGCATGGCCCGAGCACGCACGCGTCTTGCGTTGATCAACGGGGCCGATGCAGCGGGGGCGGGGGGGCGAGAGATCATCAAGCACTAGATCATCACACACAGCCACGGTCAGGGTGCCGAGCTATTGTGTAAACGCTCCGTAGAGAGCCACCAGACACTAGATCATCACGGCTGTCACACACAGCCATACACGTGTGGCTGTGGCATGATGTGACGCATGTCGAGACCACGACGCACGAGCGGAGCGGCATATCGTGCGGGACGGGTCCCGACCACGCACTTGGTCCCGTGGTCGTCGGGGTGTTGACGGGTCTCTACATCGGCTTGACGGATGACGCTTGCGGTGTATCTCCCCCGTCGCTCCGGACCCTCTGCTCTCTCTCATCTCATGTCTCAAATGTTCTTCTATTGCCTATTGGGGTTATTGCACAGCGCTTGTGTGTGTCCTGTGTGACCGCTCTGACGGACGGGAGAGTACGGCTGTAGCGAGCCGTACTCTGAGACACCAGTCTCTCTCTTACTATAACACGGAAGGAGATCCTCTCAGCGCGGCCCTTCCGCGAAACTCCCTGCATCGGGCGGCGCGTAGGCGGTCGAGGCGCACGCGGGGGCGGAACGCTCGCCTCCCTGCGGCGCGGGCGGCACGCCGGCCGGCGGCTCGCGGCCCGCGTGCCGCTCGAGCGTGGTGCGGTACATGAGCGACTCGTAGACGGGCGCCAGCTTGACGCGCAGCCGCAGCCAGAGGAGGGAGCGGTACACGGCGATCACCGAGGCGAAGACGAGGACGAGGAGCGCGGCGGCGACGCCGTAAGAGATCCAGAGAGGCACAGAGTAGGAGCCGGGGGCGTACAGGACGGAGCAAGGCAAGCTGCCGCCGCCCGCACCCACGTAGTTCGCCTCGCAGAAGCACTGCGGCCGCCCGCCTGAGCCGACGACGCACACCCCGTGCTGCGGGTCGCAGACCACCCCGCTGCACGCGTCGGCCTCACCGACGGACACCAGCAGCGCGCCGCCACCGACGAGGATGGCGCCGTCGGCGGTGAGAGCCACAGACGCGCCGCGCGGGTCGGCCGGGCGCGCGAGGCTCGCCGGCAGCGGCAACGGTGGGAAGGAGGGGCGTGGGGCGGAGACGTTCCCCAGAGGAATTGCGCCGCCTCGCTGCCCCGCCGGCAGCCGGAGCGAGCAGAGCAGCGTCGCGTTGGTGGCGGATGGCGGGCGACCGGGTCGCGGATCGACAGGCGCCTCGTCGCCAGGTTCGCCGCCTCTCGGCCCGCGGCCGCCGCCCTCCGCCAGCATCAGAGCGAGGACGGTGCCCGCCGCGTCGATGACGGGCGTCTGCGGCAGCAACAGCGCTGCGGGCGGGCCGAAGCGCGCGGGGCGGGGAGGAGGGAGGAGGCGCCCCCTCCCGTCCCACGTGAAGAGGAGGAGCCGCGCGCCGGTCGGCCGTGTCCCGCATACGAGCGCGAGCATCGCCGTGGGAGTGCCGAGCGGCGGCAAACAGCCTTGGAGAGGGGCGGCGCCTCCAAACATCGATCCGAGCCCGTGTTGCGCCTCGACGGCGCCGGAGGCTCCCGAGAGCGACCAGAGGCTCTGGCGGCTGCTGTTGGCTCCCGCGCTCCGCCGGGCGGACGAGACGACGACGAGGCGCTCCGCCCCTCCGCCCGCCGCCCCTCCCGCTAACGGCGGCGGCGCTGCGACGAGCAGCGACGGCGAGGCTGCGAGCATCGAATCGCCACCGCCACCGCCACCGCCACCGCCACCGGCGGCGGCGGCGCCATCGGCGTCGGCATCGGCGTCGGCATCGGCGGCGTCGGCATCGAGGGTGAGTGCGAGTGCGCGAGGCCGCTGCACAGGGAGCTCCTCCTCCCAGAGGCGCGAGCCGTTCGCGGCGAACCGACTCGCGACGAGGCGAGACGCGTCGAGCAGGGAGAGGGAAGCGGCGCCACCGCCCGGCCACGGCACAAGGGCGAGCGGGACGCACGCGGCGGCGCTGCAGAGGGGCGCGTTCCAGGCGAGGGCACCCGACGCGGCCCCCAGCCGCCAGAGCGAGGCGGTGGAGGCGGCGGAGGCGGAGGCGGCATCGCTCGGCACGGTAGCGATGTAAACCGAGTCTCCTCCCGCCTCCCCAGCGAGCAGCAGCGGACAGCTCGCATTTTCGCCGGGCTCGGCAGGCGGCGCCCAACGCCACAGCGGGGCGCCGTTAGTGGCGAGGGCAGTCAGTTCGTTGGTGGTGCCGGCGTGGCCTCCTCGCGCACCGAGTGCAAAGAGGATGCGCGAGACGAGCAGCGGTGTGACGGCGGCGCGACGTGAGGTGCCGTTGACCACGCACTCGCCCGGCGCGAGGGAGAATTTCCACACCGACTGTTTGAGCTCTGCGCGTGTGCCGCCTTGCGCCGAGAGTTGGAGCGCGGCGTGAGTGCGAGCGACCGCCGCACGGCCGCCGCCGGTGTCGATGATACTAGCGAGAGCGAGCAGAGGCGCGTGAAGAGTTGCGTTCCTTTCCACCGCGGGATGATCGGGCGCTAAGGTCGACCAGGATGACATCGCACGAGCGCCTCTACTACGGTCGGGCCGAAAGAGATGCCAGCGAAAACAAAAAGAATTCCCCCTGTCCACTGTCCGGCCCAGGCCTTCTCCATGGACGACGAGGACCTGCCTGGCGTGATCCGCGAGCGCAAGAAGATCTCGGTCGACGACGTATCGGACGACTCGGACGATGGCAACTGCCAGGCGTACCTCTACTCGGGATCGCAGCGCAAGCGGCTTCTCGAGGAGCAGCGCAAAAAGGCGGATGAGCAGCGAGCGCAGCGGGCGGAGGCGGCGGCCACGGCGAAGCGGCGCGCGCGCGAGTCGGCATCCGGCGGCCCGAGCGCCGTCGCCGCCGGCAGCGCCGCGGGCAGTCCCGGCGCGGCCGACGAGGCCGCCGCGGAGCACGCGGAGCCGCTCGACGCCGCCGACGCGGCGCTGCTGGAGCGGCGACGGCAGCAGCAGGAGGAGCTGACGCGCATGCAGGCGGAGCTGACGCGCGCCTCGGACGACGACGACGACGACCTCGGCGGACCCTCCTCGAGCGGAACGCCCAGCGGCGGCGGCGGCGGCGTGAGGGAGGGCGGGAGGGAGGGGGGCGGGGCGAGCCTCTCGCGGATGATCTGGCTGAGGGTGGTTGCGGAGGGCGTCGAGGACGAGGGCGGGCGGCGCCTCTCCCTCGTGCGAGACGAGCCGCTCTCTGTCGCGCTGCCCGAGATCGCAAAGCGGCGCGGCTGCCCCTAGATGCGCACGCTCGGACCCCGGCGAAAGGCGGCACACGCCGCTGGCACACACGCCGCCGCTTGGCTGTACGGCCCACACAGCCTGGGACCCTCGGCCGCGTCGCTGGCGGCGCCGTCGAGCACTGCCCCGGACCGCCCTCTCACCTCTTGCCTTCCCCGGCTGCGCAGGCTGGGCCTGCGCCCGGAGCGCACCTCGCTCGAGGCGAGCGGCGGGCGGGCGCTCAACTCGCAGTGGACGCCGCGGCAGGCCGGCCTGAGCGACGACGACACCCTGCTCGCCATCGAGGTTGCGGCCGCCCCGGAGCCAAGGCTGCGCTTGAAGCTCGCCGCCGCCGCGAAGGGCTCCGTCGAGGCGCGAGATGCCGCCGAGATGTAGCAGCGATGCAGCCGAGATGCCGCCGAGATTGAGCGCCGGGCTGCGCCCTCGCTCCGCGACTCTGCCCTTCACCTCTGCCGGCCAGGCGTCCCTCGCCGTGCCGCTCTCCACGCCGCTCCGCCAGCTGACCGAGCAGTGGAAGGCGAAGCAGCCGGCCGGCGTCGTGCCCGCGAAGGGTGAGAGACGAGCCGAGCCCCCCCCCCCCCCACACACACACCACCACCACCACCACCACCACCACCACCCACCCCAAGCGGCCGGCGCAGGCAAGCTGGGCCTCTCGTTCGACGGCGAGAAGCTCGACCTGGCGGCGACCGTGGGGGAGATGGCGAAGAAGTTCGACCTCGAGGACGACGACATGCTCGACGTGCTGCTGTGAGCACGATTTGCGGCGTCTGTGTAGCCGTTCGGGGCAATGCAGGTGTTCAAAAAGAAAATCGACACGCAAGTCTCTCTGCCGAGCTCAAAGCTCAGCGAGCGATCAGCTGCCCTAGCCTCCGCCCGCTTACCCTTCGCTTTTCGCGTTCGCATGAGCTCGCTCGCTCCGCTGCTCAGCCTCGCCCTTCTCCTCCCGGCCGGAGCCCTCTTGGTATCAGCGCCGGCGGCGCGCAGCGCTGGAGCTGCGGCGGGGCAGCGCAGCGGCAGCCGGCCACTCATGCAGACCATCGAGGAGGCTGCTTCCGCCGCCCAGCCGGTGCTATGGTCCCCCGACAAGGTGGCCGACATCCGCATCGAGGGCGGCAAGACGCTCAAGACCTTTAAGATGCCGGCGCGAGCTCTGGCCGCAAACGGCGCAAGGCTTGTGCTGCTCCACACCTCGGGACCTCGGGAGGTTGCCTGTGGTAGGCGCACGCGGAGCGCGTGCAGTACATGCTCAAGTCTCCCAACGGTCGGCCGATCAAGGCCAAGGTGGAGCTGTGGATCGGACCCAACCGGCGAGCGGTTCCCCACCCCACGGCCGCCGCGGCAGCAGCGCGCGGCGGCGGCAGCGGCGGCTCATTTTTTTTTCGCCTCGTGCACTATCGCCATCTGCGGAGGCGCACCGCACGGCACCTAGCGAGTGGCATGTCCCCTCCACGCCCACGCCCGCAGGTGCGTGCACGAGTTCATCTACGATTGCATGGACGGGCTCGCCTTCCCCATCAAGGCGAGACGCCGCCGAGATGCGGCCGAGAGAGGCGGCCGAGAGGCGGCCGAGACGCAGCCGAGCTCACGCGCCAGCACCTCCCTCCCGCGCCATCCCGGTCCCCGTCCCTCGCACTCGGCGCCTGCTCGGGCGGCCCTCGCCGCACGCCGTCTCTGGCCGGTCTCTCGCCCCTCCTCGCGTCGCCGCTCCCCCCCCCTCCTCTCCGCGTCCCAACGACCCCAGGCCCCAGCCTCAACCCCTCCCCTCCCCACCCCTCTCCTGCAGGCGACGCTGCAGTTCAAGAAGCTGAGCCCCGTGCTCAAGGTCTCGACCAACGGCGCCTACGAGTTCCCTCTCGAGTGCGGCGTCTTCGTGCCCTCGCCCGACGAGTCCAAGACCATCGGCCAGATCACCGAAAACATGTTTTACACGGCGCCGATGAAGGACCGCGTGCAGGGCGGGATGAACTACGGCAAGGGCTCCTCGGGCGGCGCGATCCGCGACTTCGACATCGACCCCACCTGGGACAAGACACAGATCATGGTCTGGTCCAAGGATGCGGGCAAGAAGTCCTTCAAGACTAACATCGAGATCCTGCAGGGGCCTAACAACCAGAAGCAGCACCTCAACCTCCGCTGCGGCGGCTCGACGCAGCCGTACCATGCCGTCATCAACACGCCCGGCGCCGGGTGGAAAATCCGATGCAACTCCAAAAAGTTCCTCGAGGACGGCCTTTTCGAGATTGCAGTCGCGCCGTACGGGGAGGTTGGCGACGGCTCCTCTCCCGGGGTGCTCCTCGGCTCCGGCGGCTTCTAGTCCGGCGCCTTGCCGCGCGGCGGCGGGCTCGCAGCGGGCGGCGGCGAGCGCGGCGCTCGGGTGGCGCGGCGGGACGGCGGGACGGCGACCCCCTCGGGGGCTATGGGCTTGCGCAGAGACTCTGGTCCACGCGTGACGCCTGTAGTAGAGCCGTACTACACGCGTGTTCCACGCCATCGCCACGGCGCACCCTGCGCTCCCCCTCCCGAGTCTCGCGCTTAATAAGTAAAATATATACCGCCGTCCATGATCTGTGTGCGGTGAATTCGTGAAATCTCCACGTGCGCCCGCGGCCCAAAGCCCATACGATAATAAGCATATATAAACTGGCACGCTGCACGGCGCTGTGGCTGAGGCTGTGTGCGGTTTCTCTTCGGGTTTTTATTCACACCGTGATCTGTCTGAGATACCAAAAAAGTATTACCGCGCGCCTGCGCGCGCACCGCGGCGTGCGTACGTTGGAGTGGCCGGAGGCCGGTGCGGCGTGCCGCGTGGCGCCGGCGTGCGCGCGCAGGCCGCTCCCGCAGGTTCGAGCAGGTGACGTCGCCCAGGTGCACAGCTGCGGGCGCGCCCATCCCCGCCCCCACCCCCCGGCCCCCCGCCGCACTCTGAGAGTCCCACTCTCTCTCAGTCACTCACGAGTCGGACTCCTCGAGCACCACGACGGCCGCTGCCTTGAGGGCGACCGCTGCGACCTGCGCCTCGGAGGCGTCGATTGGCGGCTCTGCGGCCGACGAGAGCCCGGCACTCGGCGCCCACAGCGCGGGTGTGATGCCGAGGTCGGCGGACAGGGCGGCGAGCTCTGCAGGCAAGCCTACGGTGGGCAGGTCTCCGCCTCTTCGCGAGCGAGTGCCGTCGGTGTCGGTGCCTCGAGAGGGCGCACTGGGGAGGGTGGCCACTCCGTGCGGCATCGAGACGTGCGAGGAGGGGAAGAGGCCTCGGCACCTGCGCGGTGAAGGGGCGAGGGGGCGAGGGGTGAGAGGGGCGAGGGGCGAAAGCGGTGAGAGGGGGCGGCGATCGAGGGAGGGGCGAGGGGCCGGAACCGGGGGGGGGGGGGGAGAGGGGGTTCACCCGTCCGAAGACCTCTTGCCCAGCATCCAGCCGCCGCCGACGTCGCTCGCCTCGGAGATGGCCTGCGCTCGGCGCGGCGCTGCTTAAACGAGGGCTTGGGGGCGGGGGGCGGGGGGGCGGGGGGGAGGGGGAGGGGCGGGGGCTTCGCCTCGTGTGGCGTGAGGGAGAGCTCGCGCGAGTTATGGGCGGTGAAGGGGAAGGACGCCACGCCGGCGCCCGGGCCGGTGTGGCCCGCCGCCGCGCCGTACGCCCCGTGCGGCGCGTCACGAACGCCCGATCCGCACTGCGGCGGCCCTCTCGGCACGTCTGGCGGCGGGCGGCGGCCGGAGCGCAAGTCATCGAGCAGTGCCTCGCGCACCAAAGCCTGCGGGTTTAGGGGAGGGCGGGCGGTGGCGAAGGGAGACGGGAGGGGCGGTGGCGCGGGGGGCGGGCTCGGCGGGCAGGCGATGGGGTGCGGGGGGAAGGGAGAGGGCCGGTAGGATGGAGCGGCGGTGGGGCGGGGCAAGCACGCTGGCGCACCCCTGCCGTGAGGCTTCGCGAGGACATGCATGCGGCTGTGGCGGAGGCGGGGGCGGCGGTGGCCGCCGCGGCGGCGCAAGAGCCATAGCTCGTGCCCAAGCTTCGGCCGCCGCCGTTGCCGTATCCGTATCCTCCACCTCTCCTCCCGCTGCTCCCGCCGCTGCCGGCGCCGTATCTGCCGTTACACCCGCAGACACCACGAGCGCCGCTGCCGCCGCTGCCGCCGCTGGCAGAGCCTCCTCGGCTCCCACACCCCTCTCCGCTCTGTCCAGAGGGCGTGAAGACGAAGGCGTTTGGATTCAGCGGCGTGGCCGGTGGCAGCGGCGCGGCGGGCTGCATCAGCGGGCGCTGCGACGGGTACAGCGCGCCGCAGATTGCAATCTCCCAGCGACGGCGCGCGTCCGCGTCCGAGAAGCGCAGCTCGAGCCTCGCCTAGTCCGAGGTGGAGGGTCCGATCTGACCTGCCCCTCCTCGCTCGATCGCCGACTCGGACCGAGGCGCCTCCCTCGCCTGCGGCGCCTCCCTCGCCTGGCCCAGGCCCGCGTCGGGCGGCGGCGCGCCGCTGCGGCACACTAGCCCGGGGAGCTTGGTGGGCGGAAGGTGGAGGTGGAGGGAGAGCAGCAGCGGCGCAGTCGCCTCGCCAGCGCCTCGCGTCGCGGGGGTCGCCTCCGAGGCTGCGGCGAGGGCGGTGCCGGAGAAGGAGGAGGAGGCGCCCGCGCAGCAGGAGGTGGCGGCGAGCGCGCCCGGCGCGGGCGGCACGACGAGAGACGCGACGCGGCGGAGGGGGAGGACGGCGATCCGGACCTTGGGGAGGAGGAGGGCGGAGGCCGTGAGCGCCGGCGGTGGCGGAGGTGGAGTCGGGCGGGGAGGCGGCGCAGGGGCGAGGGTAGGCGGCAGAGCGAGTGGGGAGAGCGGTGTGTGTGTGTGTGTGTGTGTGTGTGTGTGTGTGTGTGTGTGTGTGTGTGTGTGTGTGTGTGTGTGTGTGTGTGTGTGTGTGTGTGTGTGTGTGTGTGTGTGTGTGTGTGTGTGTGTGTGTGTGTGTGTGTGTGCGCGCGCGAGGTGTTTGCGCGGAGGAGGGTGTGTGAGGAGTGACGAGAGCGGCGCGGAGGACAACTCGCCGTCTTGGAGGAGTCCGCATGGAAGGCCAGGCTGTTGACGGAGAGGGAGAGCCACGCGCGCCGCCAAGCCGCGTCGTCGCGGCGCGGGGTGGGCGCGGCCTCCTCCTCCGCCTCGAGCAGCTCCGCCTCCACCACCCTCACCCATCCAGCCAGCGGAGAGACCAGCTCCACCCGCGTAGGAGGCGAGAAAGTGCCTGCCCTCGCCTTGGGCTTGGCGCCGCGTGAGGCAGCTTGGCCGGCACCGCGTCGAGAGGAGGCGGTGGAACTGCCCTGGCTCGGTGAGGCGCCTCCCTGGACCGCCGGGTGCGACAGGAGCATGTCGGGTCCGCCGTTGTCCGAGCGCATTGCACCGACAATCGACCCGGCGGCCATTGAGCCATAGTAGCCCGCTGGAACTGCTGGCCGCTCTTCCTTCCGGCCGCCGGGGGGGCGTCGCCGCCCAGGCATGTTTATCTCGGTTGTCGGTGCCCAGGCTTGCTGCTAATCACGGCAGCGGCGACAGATCACTGCCGCACACCGCGCTGCGGCTGAAATGAAGAAAGCCAGGCCGGGGAGTAGGAGGCGGAAAACAACAAGAAACCACGACTATCGATTTGGGCTCGGCAGCTTGTCAGCCCTCAGCCGAAGCTGGGGCCGGTCCCGTAGCCGAGAGAGCCCGCGCCGATCGGAGTTCGACGCGGTCGGGGGGGCCTGCGGAGAGGCCAGCGAGGTGGCGATCGCTGTATGTACTTCATGGCGCCCTCAAAAGTCACAAAGTGGGGCTGGCTGACTCGCCAGAGGTCGATACTCTGGACGACCCATAGGAGATGCCACGAATGCCTGAAGGAGAGGGAGGCGAGGCCAGAGGCAGGCTCAGCTGCTTTCGGGTGATCTCGCTTTGGTGGCTGAAGGACCCGATGGTCCTGTCACATTCGCGTTCCGAGTCGTGGGGGTAGAAGAATTCGAGGTAGAATCGAGTCAACACTTCCTTGTAGCACAGCGGACCGCCAGGCTCGCCGGCAGCAACCGCAGGGAGGCAGCATATGAGGCACCAGTCTTCTGGAGAGCTCAACAGCTGCGGCCGCGATGGCAGAGTCGGCCGCGGTTCGAGCGAGCAGCTTTTGGCTGCGGGATTGAATCGCGGAAGGCTCATGCCCTCGCTGAGCGACGCGGGTCGCGCGGCGCGCGCGTGTGCGAAATGCGACAACAGACGACAGACGACAGACGCCTGAGCGCCGAACGACTGAACGACCGTCGCCGCAATCGCCACCGCCGCCATCTTGACGAGCAGCGCGAGCGCGCTCGTCTCGGCGGCCAGCCGTCGCGGGCCGGGCCGAGCCCGGCCTCGACCGGCCGCGCCGCCGCAGCACAGGCCGGGACCGGGAGGCCCGAGCAAATAAATAAATAAATAAAACGCACACCTCTACTGTGAGAATGGGTAAAAAGGAACAGGTCCCCGCCCTTGCGATCTTTGTGCAGGGTTCTTTGTGGGTGTGGTCGGCGGCTAGCCGGGGTCGTCCTCCCGATGGGGGACTAGCACTAGCCGTCTTCCACATGGTCCCTCGGGTGGGGTCCCTGGACCCTGCTGCTCCCGCTAAGCATAAGGAGCAGCCCGGTTCTTGTGTTAGCTTGTACCTTGTTTCTTCTTTCTTGACTTCGTACACCTCGAGCTCGTCCTCGACAGCGGTGTGCTCGGGCCTCGGCCGAAAGTGGGCGTACATCGCGCGTCCCGAGGCCTTTCAAAAGATGGCCCGCCGGCCACTCTTCAGCTCCACAAAACTGCAACATCAGGATACAGGAATCCGAGAAGAGACAGTGTCGTGACCGGACGGCGAAGGCGGACGGGCACGGGCCGCGGACATAAAACTGGGGAGTGGGGACAGCGGCGACGAAAACGCGCGACCCGGGGCGATACCGCTCATCACTTTCCCTGAACCAATCGCTTGGCATACTCGACGTCCTTCTTTAACGAAGCGAGCGCCCCCTCCGTGCTCATCGCCTCGCGGCCTCGAAGACCAGGTGCCTAGGAAAAAGGGAACTTCGCGCTCAAGTATCGGCCCCAACTGACAGGTTTGGAGAGGTGCTGGGTGTGTGTGGAGGAGAGGGGGAGTGCGGTGAGGGTAATAGCGTCATCACCTCGGATGAGACGGCGCCGCTCGCGAACCGCCACTCGTCGCCGCGCCGCACGAAGCGGGTCCGCTCGTAGGTGACCACCGCGGGCGCAGCCGAGTTCTTGGTGGCGAGGTGGAACTCGTTGTCCATCCAAACCTCGCCGCCGTCCTCGCCTGGCTCCTCCTCTCCCACACCGAGACTCGAAAGAGCAAAGTCGAAATTGTCAAACATCGACGTCTTGTGGAGCTTCTTGGCCCATTTGATGCGGTCCTTCATGTGGTCCGGGTTCGACTGGTCCGTGCTCTCCATTATGTAGAGCGGCAGCCGGTAGGCAAAGGCGCTCCAGCGGGCCTGCAGGCATCTCGTCGCTGTTTCGGCTCGTGCCTCTCCGGCGTGATACGGCCGGCAGCAATTGGCGTACGCAACGCCCGAGCCACACGCGCAGGGCTTGTCAAAGTCCTTGGGAAGGCGGTTTCCGAAGCCACGGACGACCTCCTCCAGCGTCGGAGGGGCCTTCTTTGGCGCTCCGAAGCCAGCCATCTCTGCCGGCGGCTTTGCGCAGCGGCAGCCGCGGGCTGCGCCGCGGCTGAGCGGGAGCGCGCCGCGGCTCGGCGGGAGCACCACGCTGCCGGGCGCGAGCGCCACGGCTAGGGTCACAACGAGCAGCATATTAGCTGTCGGGTGTACGTGAGTCCAACGGTCTATGCAATAGCTGGGGGCGGGCTGGCTGCGGCGAAGCGTGGGGGTGGTTTTCTCAGAACAGACCTCGCCCGCTATTCACAGCACACTCTCGCCGGCGGCTCGAGCATGCGCAGCGAAAAGCACGTATGGTCTGCGCACCCGAGAAAAGAAAAAAAATCAAAGTCCAAGGCAGGGATGGGAGGACGGCACGCCGCGACAGGGATTTTAAGGAGAGGAGTGTGGTGCTAGCCGCCGCCCACCCTCGGGCGTCTACCACTTCCTATGTCTCAAAAGAGAAAAAAAAACATCTGACCAACTACGGCGGCCGCCATCGTCTCTCACTCTCTCGAGCGGACATCGTGGCGGCTTCGCACTCCGCAGCCGACATCGCAGCCGCGCCCGCCGGTGTGGGAGAGGAGGAGCCACCAGCCACGAGCCGGCACCGACGCGGCGGCCGAGCCGCTGCCGGAGGTCCTCGAGTGGGTTCTGACCCGGCTCGCCGACCAGCCCGCCGTCCTGGCTCGGGCGCGAGCGCTCGCGCGCCAGCAGATGGCGCCGCACGAGGCGGCGATGGGCTCGGCGGCGCCCTCCGAGGCGATCGCGTATGGCCTGCTCACGCCGGGCGAGGCCGGCGTCGCGAGCGTTGACGAGCGCCTCGCGGCTTGCGCCTCGAGGCACCTGCTGCTCGAGCTCGGCCAGGCCTGCTCGATGCTGCGGCGCGAGGCGGACGCCGTGCGCATCTTTCGCGCGCTCTCTCACGCCTTTGCAGCGGGCGGGGCGTCGCGAGCCGCGGCCGCCGCCGAGCACCCCGTCCTCGCCGACGACGCGCGGGCTCGCCTCTTCGAGCGGGAGGTGTACACGCACTGGGGCGCGGCCGCGGCGCGGCTCGGAGGGCGCGCCGAGGAGCGGCGAGTCTACCAGCTGGCGATGGAGCGCGGGCTGTGGCGGTCTACACTGCAGCGGCCGCTGGAGCACTACGCGCGCTCGCTGACGGCGCGTCCCTTCTGGGAGGCGTCCGAGCTCCCCGAGGCTGCGGCGCTGCAGCGCGCCTTCCCCGCCATCCTCGCCGAGTGCAACGCGCTGCTCGCGCGGCGCGGCGGTGCGTTTGCGCCGTACCGGTCGAGGGTGGTGGCGGCCGGCGGCGCGTGGTCCGACGTGCAGCTCTTCGGCGGGTGCCGTGCGGACGCGGAGCACTGCGCCGCCTGCCCGCGCACCGCCGCGGCCATCGCGGCGCAGCCGCGCCTCAACAGCGTCGTGCACGGCTCGCACTTCTTCTCGCGGCTGGCGGCGGGGACGCACCTCGAGGCGCACTGCGGCCCGTCCAACTACCGGCTGCGCTGCCACCTGGGCCTGGTGGTCCCGGCCGGCGCGCGCATCCGCGTGGGCGAGGAGGTGCGCGAGTGGCGCGCGGGCGAGTGCCTCGTCTTCGACGACTCGTACGAGCACGAGGCGCGGCGCGCTCCCTCCCGCCCCGCCCCCGTGCCCGTGCACGCGCCTCCTCGCCCCTGCCCCTCCGACACCCTTTAGCAGGCAGCGGCGAGCGGGCGACCCCCGCCCCTCGGCAGGTGTGGCACAGCGGTGACACCGACCGCGTCGTCCTCATCTGCGACTTGTGGCACCCGGAGGTCGACCTCGAGAAGCACGTCCGCCCGTCCCTCGCGCCGGCGCAGCGCGAGGCGCTCGCCGCGGCGGAGGCAGGCCGCCACCTCCCCGTGCAGCGGCGGGTGTACTCCACGGGCGCCTCGGTAGTGCGGCGAGGCGACTGAGCCGCTTTCCTTCTTGCATGCAAAACCAAAAGAATTCCGAGATACGACACACACACGACAGCCCACACGGGCCACAGGCACACAGCGGCGCGCCGGCGGGGGCGGTGTGCGCGTCTCGCCGGCCCCCGATCCAGCCTCCACGCTGGCTCCACGCCGACGCTGTTCTCCGGCGTCCGGGCGCTCAAAGAGTCTCCCAAGCACACCCACTTTGCGCATGTGTCAACCCCTGAAGCGGACGCAAGAGCAAAACGCGCGCGTTCAGGTCCCGTCCATGGTCCATGCAGGAGGCCACGATGATCTCGGCAGCAGCAAGCTGGCGCTAAGCGTCAAACACACACCCAGGAGCACGCCCAGCAAGCAGGGCACGATGCAGCTCGCGAAGCCACGCCTTCGAGACGACGGCTCTGACGGCGAGACGCTGGCCGCGGCGGCCGCCGCATACGCGTCTGATGCCGCCGCCTCTGCGGCCGCCGCCCTCTCGAGCCGCTCGCGCTCGGCCAAGCGCTCCACAATCTCTGTCTTCGCCTCTGCGGGCACCACGGTCGCCGCGGCGCGAGCAGCCGCCTGGCCGTGTTCCGGGCCGGCAGCCATGAGCGCCCGCAGCGTCTTGGTCAGCTCCGCTTGGAGCGAGGTGACCTTGCGCCTCGCCTGCGCCAGCTCGGCCAGCGCCGCGTCGCGCTCGCGGCGAAGGCGGCTTTGGCTGCCGCCGTCGGGTGCGGCCTCCGGTTCGTGGAGCCTACCGAATGATCTCATCGTGTCGACCTTTCCTTATGGCGGTACGGCGCCGTTCACAGCCTTGTTATTGAGAAGAAAATACGCCTTATGGCGCTGTGCGCTGGTCTGTGAGAGGTTCACAGACCTTGTTATTGAGAAGGAAATACCTCGTATGGCGCTGCGCGCTGGTCTATGAGGTTGAGGTGCGAGCCCTGGAGGCCCTGGGAATGGCGAATGGGGGGAGACTACCCAGTACCCACAGGCCTTGAACATTGCGCTCAGCGTATGGACCACTTGTTCGATGTCCCGCGTTCACAGCCTTGAAGAAGAGAGAACTGTGTGTGCCACATTTCTTGTAGATGTGTATATGTGTCTGAAGATGTGTTTGGTATTGCTAAATCTCTCTCTCTCTGTCTCTCTCTAAAGAACACAACCCGGGCCCCAACGAGTTGTCACCGAGAGCTATGACACAGAAATCGAGAGCGGGCAAGGGAGCGTCCGCCGTGGCGATGTCGTTCACAATCACAAAGCTATCTCTCCTACCCCGCAGTGATCTGTGATCTGGGAGGGTCCGCCCGCATTTACCACCTGTGCTGGCGGCGAGGACGCGAATCCACGACCATTGATTTGCGGCCATTGGCAACGGCCAGACCGCTCGCGCTTATATAATAAAAGGCTGATCGGCTAGGGACGAGCGGTCTACCATCGTTACTGGGCTGACTGGCAAAAAGAGGAGTGGTCACATATCCGGATGAGGCGCAGCGTGTGAGGCAGAGCACACACACTCATGAACTACTGTATATACGGCGTCCCACACAGGAGGGGGGGGGATATCTCGGCGTCTCTGCTGAGAGCTCGAAGGGGGGACAAGAGCTCCGGCAGCTCCGCGGCGTGAAACGCAACGCCGTTGGCGTTGCCGCCACTCTTCATGCAGTGCACGACGCAAGGCCGAAATCCTCAACGGAACCTGAAAATGGTGATGCTTTACGCACACGTTGGATCCTCGACGACGGCGATTTGGAGACCCCCACTACTGGCCGAGAGGACATTGAGGGTAAGCGTAGAACTCCGAACAGTGGGGTTTGTGCATCCGGAGCCGGTCGTGTGTACCCTAAGACCTCTCCGAACAGTGGGGTTTGTGCATCCGGAGCCGGTCCCACCAGTGTACCCTGAGAACTGCCGTTAGTTGGCGAAGTGTCCGCACGGAGGACCATTGTTGTAGTGGGCCACTCCACCGCTGTTTTCAGGCCAGCCTGATGAAGTGCTGCAATGGCAGTCAACATCCCCATCTTGGCCCGCAATCGAATCGATCATATCGCCTACCTTGACCCGGTAGCAGTGGCTCAAATAACTTGGGCTGTAAATCGTTTTGCCCACAATTCGGCCAGCATCGTCGCGGATGATGGGTTTGTGCACTCCTCGCGGCAGTCCTCGGACAGGCGCCGCTGGCCACGGCAGCTGCTTCCACTCCCCCTGCCCCGCCGCCAACGTCCACGGCCGAGGCCTCGGCGGCCGCGGCCGGGACGCCAGCGAGATGCGACGACACCTTGGCGGGGGCCGCGTCGAAGCGGGAGAAAGCGAACCGCGTCTCTAAGGCCTACTGTCTGAATTCGCGGAGCGAAGAAAATTTTATACGGAATACGTCCATTTTTGGAGCTTGGAATACGGCGTATTCCATGGAATACGTGGAATACGGGTGGAATACGGGTGGAATACAGGCCTCTGGGAGGTCATTTGGAATACGTGGAAAACGTATTCAGACAGTAGGCTCTAAGGCCGAGGCGACCTCGTAGCTACAGGTTTGTCTGCCTCTCCGTCGACGCGCAACACGCCCTCATTGGCGTCCCACACAAGGGGGACACATGGCGTCTCTGCTGAGAGGTGGAGCTCCGGAAGGGCAGAAAGAAAGACATATGGCGTCCCACAGCACATCGGGCCGAGGGGGTACCAGAGCTGAGGGGAACTAGGCAACCTCGGCTTTGGAGCTGCAGGCGTTCCCCTCACGATCCGCCTACCTTTGCTACGCTTTGTTGATCGCCTTGTGCGCCCCGCCCGCCCCTGCCCCGCGCCCCGTGCCGCGGCCCCGCCCCGCCCGCGCACGCGCGCTGCGGCCGCCGTCGCCCCGCCCGCGAGAAGCTCTCACCCCGCACCTCTCCGCCCCGTCCGGCGCCCGCAGAAAGTGCCAACATGCCAGCTACTCTTGAGTCGATTGAGGCCGAGATCGCCACCCTGTGCGCGCCGCCGCCCTGCCCCGCCCGCCCCCCGCGCACGCCCCGCCGCGCGCCACCCGGTCGCTGCCCCTCCACACCCTTCCCGACCTCCGCCGGCACTCTGCGCGCTCAGGCACGAGACGCTCGAGTCGCAGGGCCTCAACTCGCGCGGCGTCACCGACATCTTTGGCCGCAAGTTCTCGCTCCCCGTCGACGACGAGCACAAAGCCAAAAAACTCGGCCTGACCCAGATCTTTTGCAACTTCTCCAACCCGCACATGCGCGCCTTCCACACCTCGTGGTGCGCGCGCGCCCCGCGCCCAAAACCCTGCTCGCCCACACGCCCCAACGCCCCAACGCCCCAACGCCCCAACGCCCCACGCCCCACGCGCCGCACGCGCCGCGCGCGCCACACGGCGTGCCGCACGCGCCGACCCCCCCCCGCCCCGCCCCGCCCCCTCCGGCTCCCTGCACACTCCCGCCGCCGCCGCCGCCCGCAGGTTTGGCTTCTTCTCCTCCTTCTTCTCGACCTTCGCCGCGGCGGCGCTCATCGCCTACATCGGCCCCGACCTCAATCTCACCGCCGAGGACAAGGGCAACGCCGGCATCGCCGCCGTCGCCGGCACCATCTTCTTCCGCCTCGCCATGGGCTACATCTGCGACAAGGTTGGTGCGCGGCGCGGCCTCGGCACCCTCCTCCTCCTCGTCACCCCGCCCATCATCTGCTTCATCATCCCGGGCGTGATCGTCAACGCCGGCGGATTCATCGCCGCCCGTTGTGTCATCGGCTGGGGCCTCGCCACCTTCGTCGCCTGCCAGACCTGGTGCTCGCAGCAATTCTCCAAGAGCGTCGTCGGCATGGCCAACGCGACTGCGGCCGGCTGGGGCAACCTCGGCGGCGGCGTCACCAACCTGACGATGCCGTACATCTTCCTCATCATGATGTCCTTCGCCAACGACGACGTCAACAAAGCGTGGCGCCTCTGCTACATCGTGCGCCCCCCCCCCCCGGCCCGCACCCCCTCTCTCCCTTTCGCGCCGCCGATGAGGGCTCAGCCGCAGCGCTGCACCGTCTGCAGGTGCCGCTCGTCCTCCACGTGGTCGGCGCGGCCGCCGTCTTCACCGCGCGCGACCTGCCCGACGGCAACTACGCCGAGCTCGAGAAGTCGGGCGCCAAGCAGAAGACCGACTCCAAGGTGGTCCTCGTCACCGGCGTCACCAACATCAACGCCTGGCTCCTCACGCTCACGTACGGCTTCTGCTTCGGCGTCGAGCTCACGATGAACAACGTGGCCGCCGGATTCTTCTACAACTACCAGGGCGTCACCCCGCAGCTCGCCGGCATCGCCGCCTCCATGTTCGGCCTCATGAATATCTTCGCGCGGTGCGCGCCCCCCACCCCCCCCGCCGCGAGCCTTCTTGCTAAAGCCCCGCCGCCCCCACAGGTCGCTCGGCGGCCTCCTTTCCGACTTCTGCAACGCCCGCTTCGGCATGCGCGGCCGCCTCTGGTCGTGCTGGATCATCCAGACCATCGAGGGCGTCATGTGCTGCATCCTCGGCTCCGTCACCGCCGACATGTCCGCCCCGTACCCGTCGACCGGACCCAAGTACCCCGCCTTCGTGGAGATTCCCAAGGACGAGTGGCGCGTCGCCCTCAACACCTCGTGGGGCTGGACCCCGCTCGTTGGCAACGGGTGAACCCACCCCCAC